CTCAGGACCTCACCCGCCTCAGGACCTCACCCGCCTCAGGATCTCACCCGTCTCAGTCCCTCACCCGCCTCAGGACCTCACCCGCCTCAGGATCTCACTCGCCTCAGGACCTCACCCGCCTCAGGACCTCACCCGCCTCAGGATCTCACCCGTCTCAGGACCTCACCCGCCTCAGGATCTCACCCGTCTCAGGACCTCACCCGCCTCAGGACCTCACCCGCCTCAGGACCTCACTCGCCTCAGGACCTCACCGGGTCACTCTTCTCAAATATGGGAGTCTATAATTATCTACAGGTAACAGGACCTCTTTACAGGCAAGTCTGCAGCCCCGGAGGGCAGGTGAATTGGTGGCTAGAAGCTCGGGGGCGGAGCCTGGGTCTGCCAATAAGAGGCTTCAGGGCAGAGCTTAGGAGGAGCAAAGGTAAGGGAAGCAAGGAGGACACTCGGGATGAGGGGCTCCTTCTCTGTTGGTCTGGAGATGCTCAGGCCAGGATATAAAGACAGCAGGGACCTACAGAAGACAGAGATATAAGGACAGCCGGGACCTGCGGTAGGCAGAGATATAAGGACAGCCGGGACCTGCGGAAGGCAGAGCTATAAGGACAGCCGGGACCTGCAGAAGGCAGAGATATAAGGACAGCCGGGACCTGCAGAAGGCAGAGATATAAGGACAGCCGGGACCTGCGGAAGGCAGAGATATAAGGACAGCCGGGACCTGCAGAAGGCAGAGATATAAGGACAGCCGGGACCTGCAGAAGGCAGAGATATAAGGACAGCTAGGACCTGCGGAAGGCAGAGATATAAGGACAGCCGGGACCTGCAGAAGGCAGAGATATAAGGACAGCCGGGACCTGCGGTAGGCAGAGATATAAGGACAGCCGGGACCTGCGGAAGGCAGAGATATAAGGACAGCCGGGACCTGCAGAAGGCAGAGATATAAGGACAGCCGGGACCTGCGGTAGGCAGAGATATAAGGACAGCCGGGACCTGCGGAAGGCAGAGATATAAGGACAGCCGGGACCTGCGGTAGGCAGAGATATAAGGACAGCCGGGACCTGCAGAAGGCAGAGATATAAGGACAGCCGGGACCTGCGGTAGGCAGAGATATAAGGACAGCCGGGACCTGCAGAAGGCAGAGATATAAGGACAGCCGGGACCTGCGGTAGGCAGAGATATAAGGACAGCCGGGACCTGCAGAAGGCAGAGATATAAGGACAGCCGGGACCTGCGGTAGGCAGAGATATAAGGACAGCCGGGACCTGCAGAAGGCAGAGATATAAGGACAGCCGGGACCTGCGGTAGGCAGAGATATAAGGACAGCCGGGACCTGCAGAAGGCAGAGATATAAGGACAGCCGGGACCTGCGGTAGGCAGAGATATAAGGACAGCCGGGACCTGCAGAAGGCAGAGATATAAGGACAGCCGGGACCTGCGGTAGGCAGAGATATAAGGACAGCCGGGACCTGCGGTAGGCAGAGATATAAGTGGATGGACATTCGGGGCAGAAGACATCACTGACCTCTACATATGACGGAGGCGTCCTGGGAGTGGACACAGAGGTTCTTCCTGGACACCACGGCTCCGCAGTGTGACAGAGCAGACTCCGTACCATTGCAGAACACCTTCTCCAGCCAAATGGTTCCAGATCCTGGGCCGAAATACGCCCCTCCGGGCGCCTCCACTGCGGGACCACAGCCAACCTCTCTACAGACCACCTCAGCATCAGAGAGGTCCCAGTGCTGGTCACACACCGTACCCCACTTCTTCTTAAATAAGACTTCCACCCGTCCAGAGCAGGAATGCCGACCGTCCACCAGCCTGACCTCTGAGACCACTGCAACCATAATGACATCAACTATTGACAATGGATGGATAATGTCCCCTCCCCCAAACACAGCCAGGCAGAGTGGTATTTTCTGGTCTTTAAATAAACGGACAACGGGTGCAGAACCACCTGAATATTTGGCTGTAATATGCTGTGTTACCCCTAACCATACCCACTTAGGCCCAGACCCTAACCCTGTGTTACCCCTAACCATACCCACCTAGGCCCAGACCCTAACCCTGTGTATCCCCTAACCATACCCACCTAGGCCCAGACCCTAACCCTGTGTAGCCCCTAACCATACCCACCTAGGCCCAGACCCTAACCCTGTGTATCCCCTAACCATAACCACCTAGGCCCAGACCCTAACCCTGTGTAGCCCCTAACCATACCCACTTAGGCCCAGACCCTAACCCTGTGTATCCCCTTACCATACCCACCTAGGCCCAGACCCTAACCCTGTGTAGGTCCTAACCCTAGTAGCCTAGCTGAGGGTCTTCTAAAGGGGGCTTTCAGATTCCAATAAGACCCTCAAGACCACCA